CTGTTTAGTATAAGAGACAAATATTTAAAACATGCTCATGCCTGTAATCCCAGCATTTTGGGAGGCAGAGGCAGGAGGATCGCTTGAGGCCAGAAGTTTAAGACTAGCCTGGGCAACAAACATAGTGAGACCCTATCTCTACAAAAATTTTTTTAAAAAAAATCAGCCAGGCATGGTGGTGCACACCTGTAGTCCCAGCTACTTGGGAGGCTGAGGAAGGAAGATTACTTAAGCCCAGGAGATCAAAAGCACAGTGAGCTATGATAGAGCCACTGTACTTCAGCCTGGGCAACAGAGCAAGGTCCTGTCTCTAAAACAAATAAATAAAGAAAGAAAACAAAAACTGCATGTAACATGTAGTATGTAGCTTGTCATCCGCTACAAAAGAGTTATGGGGGAGGCCCCCTTGTGGCTTTCAAGGAGGGAGACATCAACTCTTGTGGTCAGCAGAGGGCTAGGAGCCAGGAAAGGCAAAGTAGGTGATACTGGATCTGAGTCTAGAAGACACACACAAATTCACTTGGTGGACAACGGTGGGACAGAGAAGAGTATAACAGGTGGGCACAAACATGAAAACCCCTCAATATGCACATGTGATAATTAAATGTATAGCTATTGTGTGTTGATTAAAAACACAAATTTCTTATACATATATATGAAATTTGATATTATTTTCTTACATTGTAAAGCTTATACTAAAGTTTATGTTCCTTATAGGGATGCAAAAATTACATCATTTAAAAAAAAGTCATTTTTTTCCTTATAAACAATTATTTTTGAGGTACCTGTTGTATTGTGTGATCCTGTGGCATCCTGCAGAGTTAGAGTTAAAGAGTTAGAGAAGCTTACAGTCTCTGCAAATCCAGGTCACAAAGAGGCATGCAGTTTTAGCCAAAACCTTCGACTATTTAATGAGATTGAAAATAGCAGTTATTCCAAGGCGATAGAGCTAAACAATCCTCACTCTTATTTTTGAGGCATCCAGACAAAGGAACATGCCTGCTACAGTAACAGGCATTAGGCAGTCAGTGGAGGATAAAACAGGCATGGCCCTGTCCTTACGTAGCTCACAGTTCAGTGGGAAAGGACAGAATTGGGTTTAAATATTTTATTTATGATGTTTAAATATTTGTTATATTTAAATATCTTAAAATGAGGAAAAAACTGATGGCATTCAGGGAAATGAAGTACAATCCACTTGAAACTGTTACAAAAAAATGATGTATTGTACAATTCAATTAGTCTTTCTGGCTCTATTGAACAGTGTTTATATGGAGTCAGGGCCCTGCTGAATTAGGTTAACAATGCTACCTTTTAGTAGGTGAACAGAGGGACAAAGGGCACTGGCCAGTCTCCCAGGCCTTAAAAGGCTTCTCTCTTCAGGTGGTACTTAAGCCCAAAAGGAAAAAAAAATCTTTCACAGAGACAGTGAAAGCAGTGAGACAAATGGGACAGCTACTGACATCAGTATTCGTAAACTGAAATTACGAAAAATGAAAACAGAGCTAGTTTCAGAAACGTCGAAGGCATTGTCTTCACAAGTTATTAACGAGCGTTAAGCATATAGAACACGTTGTTACTGCTGCTGCCTGAGTATGGGAACAAATCCCTGCCACGTTGAGCCATTTTTGGCAGCAAGGCTGAGCACATGCTCTAGTTTTTGACAATCAACCACTAACACCGGTGAGGGAATTTCTGAGAGAACTAAAATTTGGCATGAAATGCTATTTTTGCAAAATAGAGCACTGTATCCCCACTGATTTCTGAAGTTCTAAACAACCCTCCATACTGGCATGAGGATTCCACTTTCAAACTCAACTATAATCAAGAAGCATTTAAAAAAAAGAAAATGTTAAAAAAAAAAGTTACTTGGGGGAAAAAGGCAATGATATTCTTAAGTGATAAAGTTTATGTGCAAGAGAGTTTCTTTCCTGTTAATATGAGTTATACGTGAACACTGAGTATGTTCCAATGAAGAGCTAAGAGCTACTGTCCTACCTCTTGTCAAACAAATTATGAAAAATACAAAAAGCCTGAGGGCTGTTTCTGATGTAAATAAAAACGCAGTTCATAGTCAGGTACAGATGGATGAGCTCCAAACTCTTTATTTTTAAAAATGAATGGTGTTGGCTGGATCTCTTTTCCATGATCCATTCCATTCACATTAGAATCAATTTTTACAGGGTCAATGGTTCATTTTTCAAGCCTATTGGCCTATTAGTATCATGCTAAATAATATTTAATATTTATTAATGATACTCATACTATTTATATAAATGAATTTCTTTAAGAACTCAACTCTGCGACTGTGGATGCATTGCAATTTGTGAACTGATTCTCTCTTTACGGCCCCGCAATCCACATGATTCAAGAGAGGTGAGGAGGAGGAGGAAGTCTAGGGGGAAACAGGTCTCTTCCCCCACCCCACATTCAAGAGGAGTTGAGAAAACAGCACAATCACATTACAATTAGCTCCAAACTAATAATGACCAAATCTGCTATTTATACATGTATAAGTAAACATACGTGTCATCTGATTTGAACATTAAGTGTCATCAGTATAGATTCCAACATAACACATCTTTTGTTATGCTGGTGGCAATTATCTCTTTAAAACAAAGTTCTTGAATGTTGTTCAGGTTTGCAGTATGCTGAGAGAGGTTCTGGAATGGTGCTCTGGTATGTTCCCCCACAAAAATAGCCCTGAGCAATAAAGTAATGGGGCAAAGGGAATGTTTAAGCATAGACCTCAGTTTGGAGACGATGTCGTGGTGAGGTGGTGGTAGTGAAGGCTTTATTTTTATTAAGGGAGGAAAATGTATCAGAATAAAACATATGAGAGAACATAATCTTAGAATAACAAGGACTGGTAGAGATAATCTAGTTCAGTTTTTCTCAAATTGTGTTCCTGGGAATATTGATCCTACAAAAAAGACGTTCTGAGGTCCAACAAGAAATGTGTCACATATCACTTTCTTTTCTTGGTGATTCAAAGTACAGCATGTTAGTATATTAAAACTCTGAAACATCTTGTACTAAAGAAAATCTGCTTAACCGAGTCACTTTCCAAACCTATTTGACCACAGACAGGGAAGCTATTTAGTGTGGCACTGGATGTATTGGGGGGCGAGAGTGTGGAGCCTGGGCCCCACTCACTGACTAGAGGAAAGGGCATCTTTCCTACCTTGCTCCATCCTTTTGCCAAGCTGTGAGTTTGCTGGGCTGTGTTCCCTTGAGGGGTCCTTTTCTTTTCCAATTCTCATAAAGCTGGCCTAGCTGTGGCCCTCCTATGGAGTCTCTTTTTGAGTAACACCTATTAACATGTATAGAACTTGTTTATGTTCTGTGGAATACACTTTGGGAAACACTTAATCTATCTAGAGAGCTTAAGTGACTTATTGGTGGTCATTTCATGGCAGAACTAGAGCCAGAACTCCTATCTCTAAATACTCTGCTCTGTGCTTTTTAGTATTCTTTACATTCACATTTCTTTTTATTTTTTAATTACCCTCCTGGAATCTA